TTGTTGTTGTTAGGTGCCATCAAGTCGATTCCATGTACAGCAGAACGAAACACTGCCTGGTCCTGCAGCATCCTCACAATAGTTGTTATGCTTAAGCCCATTGTTGCAGCCACTGTGTCAATCCATCTTGCTGGGCGTCTTCCTCTTTTTTGCTGACCCTCTACTTTACAAAGCATGATGTCTTTCTCCAGGGATTGATGCCTCCTGATGACATGTCCAAAGTATGTGAGAGGTAGTCTTGCCATCCTCGCTTCTAAGGAGCATTCTGGCTGTACTTCTTCCAAAACAGATTTGTTCGTTCTTTTGGCAGTCCGTGGTGTATTCAGTATTCTTCGCAAACACCACAATTCAGAGGCATCAATTCTTCTTCCATCTTCCTTATTCATCGTCCAACTTTCACATGCATATGAGACGATTGAAAACACCATGGCTTGGGTCAGGCGCATCTTAGTCTTTAAGGTGATGTCTTTGTTTTTCAACACTTTAAAGAGGTCTTTTGCGGCAGATTTGCCCAGTGCAATGCGTCTTTTGATTTCTTGACTGCTGCTTCCTTGAGTGTTGATTGTGGATCCAAGTAAAATGAAATCCTTGACAACTTCAATCTTTCTCCGTTTATCAGGATGTTGCTTATTGGTCCAATTGTGAGGATTTATGTTTTCTTTATGTTGAGGTGCAATCTCTGCTGAAGGCTGTGGTCTCTGATCTTCATAAGTAAGTGCTTCAAGTCCTCTTCACTTTCAGCAAGCAAGGTTGTGTTATCTGCATAATGCAAGTTGTTAATGAGTATTTCTCCAATCCTGAAGCCCCGTTCTTCTTCAGAGTATTTCTCGGATTATTTGCTCAGCATACAGACTGAATAGGTATGGTGAAAGGATACGACCCTGATACACAAGTTTCCTGACTTTAAACGGCACAATATCCCCTTGTTCTGTTTGAATGACAGCCTCTTGGTCTACGTACAGGTTTCTCATGAGCACAATTAAGTGTTCTGGAATTCCCATTCTTCACAATGTTATCCATAATTTGTTATGATCCACACAGTCAAATGTCTTTGCATAGTTAATAAAACACAGGTAAACATCTTTCTGGTATTCTCTGCTTTCAGCCAGGATCCATCTGACATGAGCAGTGATATCCCTCATTCCACGTCCTCTTCTGAATCTGGCTTGAATTTCTGGCAGTTCCCTGTGGATGTACTGCTGCAGCCGCTTTTGAATTATCTTCAGCAAAATTTTACTTGCATATGATATTGTTCAATAATTTTCACATTTGGTTGGATCACTTTTCTTGGGAAGAGGCATAAATATGGATCTCTTCCAGTCGGTTGGCCAGGTAGCTGTCTTCCACATTTCTTGGCATAGACAAGTGAGCACTTCCAGCGCTGCATCCGTTTGTTGAAACATCTCAATTGGTATTCCGTCAATTCCTGGAGCCTTGTTTTTCACCAATGCCTTCAGTGCAGCTTGGACTTCTTCCTTCAGTACCATTGGTTCCTGATCATATGCTACCTCCTGAAATAGTTGAATGTAGGCCAATTCTTTTTGGTACAGTGACTCTGTGTATTCCTTCCATCTGCTTTTGATGCTTCCTGCATCGTTTAATATTTTCCCCGTAGAATCTTTCACCCTCGTGTAGTCCCCTCCTATAATGTACCAGCAGAGGTGATGGTATGTCACTTCTAAGGTTAGGTTATAAAAGACCGTGGCTTTTGTTTTGCTCATTCTTTCTCTATCACATGGTGAAGAACTGAGGCACCCAGCCAACAGCCAACAAGGAACTGAGGCCTCCCGCCAATAGCCAGGTGAGTGAGCTTGGAAGTAGATCCTCCAGCCCTGAATGACTGCAGATCCAGCTGGGATCTTGAGTCATAACCACCCAGCTAAGCTGCTCCCAGACCACTGACCCTCAGAAACCATGTGGGATAATCACTGTTTGTTGTTTTAAATAGCTATGTTTTGGGAGTAATTTGTTACACACCAATAGATAAGTCATATAGCCAGAAAAACCTTGAGTTCCACTTTCTTAGGAAGCCTGAAGACAGCAATAGAATAGAAGGCAGAGAGTGCCTGCCCTGAATCTAGATGACCTGGCCTGAAGTGCCATTTTGGCAACTGGCTTTGTCACACCCTGACCAAACCAGAGTGAAGCAAAGTGACTGTAACCCATAGAAATTCTTATCATGAAAAATACGGTGCTATTTGTGAGAAAGAGGCCTGGTCCTGAGCTCCTTCTCAGAGCCTCCAAACTCCTGTGAGATTATGGGACAATTTCATAATTTTTCTAGGCCTTTGTTTCTTTATCTATAACAGCGATAATATTACCTTCTTGTGTGGCTAAAATGGATAGAGTAGATGTGGAAGGACTTTGGAAAAAGAGTTAAACCTGCTGCACAACTTCTAAACAGTAACATCACCATCATCACCACTTTCTACTCAGAGATGGAGTGTAAGGGTTTGGATTTTATATCACAGTCCTTACTATCAAACATGAGGTCATTTGGGGAGCCATAAAGACTCTACAACACGAGGAGCAAACGCAAATGCTCCCTGGGGCCAGGTGGGCAGCATAAATATGTGAATCCGGCTGGGGATGGAAGGGATAGCAGGGAATGGTAGGACTGTGGCAAACTAGAGATTTCCTGCCCTCCTTAAAAGAAAGTTAAAAACATTGTTGAGGGCCAAGCAAACCAAGTCTGCCTGCTGAATTTGATCCACCAAACACCAAGTTGCAACCAACCCCTCTATCCAGCACCATAAACAATAGAAGGCTAAGGATATGTGTGTGTGTGTGTGTGTGTGTGTAGGATTTAGGCCTCACCATATATTTTGCAGATGCTGGAAGGTTCTGTGACTAGGTCTTCATCACACACCGATCCTTCCATTCATTCATACATTCATTTATGGAGAACCCAGTATAAGCTACACACTATGCCACATACCAACCCCCATTGTGCCAAAATTTGTACTTGAGATCCTATTTTGTGCCTTTCCAAGTTTGGCTTATTTGCTTCAGTACTGTATTTGCAGGTAATGCAGACCCTCTATTTTAAGAAATGAGTTCCAGTACCAAATCCACAAATAAAGAATTATTATAATAATAGCATATTCATGAAAAGCAAATTACTTATCTTGGCGTTTAACATCCTTGTAACTATTCCTGCACTTTTAATGTCAACAGAAAAAAAGTAATGTCTAAGTCTGGCTGATATGGTAAATTAGTGTTAATAACAGTTTTGACACTAATAGCAAGTTTTAGAAAAGAAAAAACCGTCAGTCTCTAAGCTGGGTTTTCATTTCTTAAGACTCACCTCAGCTCACTGTCACCAAAGACTCCCCTAGAACAATTCCAGCTACTATTTCACCTTCACTGGGAGCCTGAAAAGACTAGAATCTGTAAAGGTTCTATGAAATTATATGCCTTCCCTGCCTTTGCTCACTCCCACTGGGGAAAACATCCACCCCCTTGAGTTTCAACACCAGGGGGCTTCTCAGCAAAGACACATTTCTGGACCCCTATAAGCAGATGAATGCCTAGATGCTTTCATTAAAAACCACTGGCTGTTTCTTCAGAGCTTGAAAATTAGGTTGATGGGAGATTTCAGACTTTATGTTATCAAGACCATGGAATCCCAGAGAATACCGCCTACACTTTATTTAGCTTTGTGTTCTTCCACAGTGCCGTGCGTAGAGTAGGTACTTAATAAATGTCCCAAGAATTCAATTGACCTGAGCTGAAATTTTAATAGGCCCAGAGAAAATGAAAAGGAACCCAGCCCCTGGGCCCTACCCTCTTGCCAGCTCTTTCTAGAAGTCATTGAGGACTCAAGCAGCCCCTTGCAAACCCTCTCACCCCCCTCAGATCCAGCCATTAGGATATGGTTGGTCTATAGCACCCACCTCCGTAATCACTTAGAGGCCGCTAGGCTTTAAGCAAAGCATCTCTCCCAACTTCCAAACGTTGTTCTTTTTCTATTACTAGTTGAGTGTTTTACTTTTAGATAATCCTATAATGAATGAGCTCAGAAGATCAGAGAGGCAGCAGTGACAACCCATCAATAAAATAATTACCTCAAAGTAGATTTTGTTAGAGACTTCTCATGTCATAATAGGAAATCTGGGCTACTTAAAATCAAGGAAATCAAATAGAATCATCTCTTTTTGTTTTAAAAGGAAAGTTAGCCTTAAAAGTATCTCTTCCATAGAGCCCCACCAACTCTGCTGAAAATACTGGTTATTTACTCTGGAAGTGCATGCATGATAGAAATACTAAAGGAGTACATGATGATTTTTAGAATTTTCTTTTTCCTTTCCATAGTTACCACTCAGTTGTCTGTAGAATTTAGGTGAGGAGACCCGAGTACATTTTATCTTTCAGCTTTAATATTCAGATCATGGCCTCAGTCCCTAAGGCTTTTGTGTCTTATCCCAACACTTGCATGCCATGGAAAAGCAGGGGGAAATCAAGGCATGACAGGCACAGATGCAGGACAAAATCCCACCTCTTCTCTGTCTTCCAACCAGTGAAAGAGAATGGTTCCTGACAACAAAAGCAGACCTAGGCAGCTACGTTTCTTTTCTGTCCTCCTCCCCTCAAACATAAATGCCGACCCTGTTGTGCTTGTCCTGTAACCCAAACTCCATGCTGCCAATGACCCATTTCACCCTTACCCCAAGCTTTGCGTCACCTCCAACTGGGGAGACAGGTGTGATTTATGGAACCAACCCCTGCAATAACAGACATTCAACGAGGACCAAATGACTTCCAAGCTCTGGACAAGAAATAGGAAAAAAAGACCAGAGCTGGCTTCGGGTTCTGTTGGGTGCAATATTGAGGGATAAAGCAGAAACTCAATAAGGAAGTGACATAGACTTAAAGTCAGTCAGGCTGATGCCCAAAGCAGAGCCTGCACACCGGACTGAGATAAGGGACACCCTTCAGTGGCTCCATGAAAATGAAGATAAACCGAAAACATTGTGGGACCAAGTGTAATAATTACATACCCATGCTCCATCAGGTCCAAACAGTTCTAGGAAGTTGCCAATGAATTCCCTTGACTTTTCTTCCCACTTTTGAATTAGATCATGACTCTTTTCTTCGACTCTATTAACAAATTCCTTTGATCTTTCCTCCACATTTTTGACCTTTTCCTTCATCTTATCTACCTGGTTCTGGAAACGGTACTTCTTCTCCTGGTAAAAAAATTGAAGGAAAAAGATGGATTTATCCAAGAGGGTATGAAATCGTTCACCTCTCTTGTAGAGAAAGTCATTTGTCATTAGCCTATTTGGGTATGGAAAGGGAAGCACAAGTGGTTTTAAAGTTCTCTTTCTTTTAAACCTCTATGAGTTGAATTCACTTATTTAAGAGAGGAATCAAAAATACATATTTACCCTTTATTATGGGTAGATATTGGGCAAATATCTCCACTCAGTTCTGCTGGGACTTAGACATAAGTGAATTTTACACAGAATGGCCAGTCAGAGCCTGCCTGAGTTGTCTCTTTATTGGAACATTGTTAAAACGAATATTGCTTGAAATAAGTGGGCCATTGGCTGGGGCTTAGAACCCATGTGTTACACTGAAATTTTCATTTTAATGAGATTTACCATTAGAATAATTGAATTGCATCTATTTCCTTGGTGATGAAGAAAGCTTTTATTCTGATAGCTTCTCTGGACTGGGATTTTGTTCTCCTTATAGACTTTATGCAGCATTGCTGTCTACCTCCATGTCTGGAAGCCATCATATGTTGGGCAGGTCAGATGTCACCTCTAAACCTCAGTTTCATCATTCATTAAATGGGGATAATTGTCATACCTACCTCCATAGGGGTGCTGTGACAATTAGATAGTGCATGTAAAGTAATTGTCACAAAGCCGGGCATTTAGTAAACACTCAAGGTGTGTTGACTGTTTCATTACTATTAAACGGCAGAGGCATTTAATCTGTGTTACCTAATGAGGGTTATATCGAAACCATGAAAATAACATGAGACAAGAGGTCTTCCTCTGTGAAATCATGATATTTTTTTCTCCTAAAGGGGTAATAAAGCTTAACATTTTTCTTTACCATATGGGACTAAAGTTCATTTTGCAGTTCACAATTTTTGAGACACCTGAAACATTGCAAAACTGTGTCAGGATTCCTTGATTTAAACCTTCCAAATCTTACTGAGGCCTCAGTCAGGGCAGGATGTGAGCTCTATGTGTTACCATGTTGTTGTTGCGTGCTGTCGAGTCGATTCTGACTTATATTGACCTATAGGGCAGAGTAGAACTGTCCCATAGGGTTTTCAAGGCTATAATCTTTACAGAAGCCGATTGCCACATCTTTCTCTTACGTTTTGGTTAGCAGCCGAGCGCTTACCAGGGATGCTTGTTACCATGTAGAGATATATATATATATATATATACATAGCACACAGGCGTGCTATGGAAAGTCACTCTGTCTTCCACAACTTAGAGTGTGAACTTGGATGAGTTGTTCAAGCTCTCTGTGCCTGTTTCCTCACCTATATGTTGGAAATAGTCATTACACCTACTGTCATGAGCTTTCCAGGAAGGTTAAATGAGATAATCCCAGTAAAACACTTCGATCAGCACATGATAAGCTTTGATCAGTATTAGCTGTTGTCCTTACATTTATATTGTTCACTTCCAGAGTTCATTCTGCACTAGAAATAGTTACTATGTGCAGCTGTCAGGGGCAGCATTGAGTAGAATGAGCACTAGACTGAGAGTTGGGAGATTGGGAGGCTGCTGGTATCTTCATCTCTACTTGACTTGAGGGACCTTTGCCAGCTGCCCTCTCTGAGCCCAGTTTTCCTCATCACTAAATCGAGGGAATTGGACTGGGTGACTGACCCCCATCAGGTCCCTGCTACCTCTGAGGTTCCATGATTCATATACACACCCATCCAACACATTTGATTTCATCCCTGAGCTGCAGCCAGGTTTGTTGTCACAAAAAGGCAACAAGCACATCCACACTGAACTACACAGTTCCTTGAGCTAAGTGACTTATCTACAGGCCGTTTAAAGAGAGTGAGCGATAACTTTTGGAAATGGCTCATCATGCTTGGATGGTTGACTGAATTCAATTTAAAAAACCAGTTTAATTTATTGAAATAATCACGATGACTGAATTCTTTTCAACCACTTGAGCCCAGCATCTTCCATTTTGTTGCCCGGCTGGTACGAAACCACAGAGCCTGGAGTCCCAGAGCTCCCTGCCTCTCAAGAATGACTAATAATCACTGATTCTACAATTAATGATCCCTTCTTATTTAGAAGGTTCTGATGATCAATTGTGTAAGCTGCTGGATCATTATGGTTGCACATAAATTATAAGTGTCTGGTTTTGTAGACAGATCTCCCTTTGCACATACAGTATCTATTTTTTTCAGGTTGCAATTCTGTATGGATGGAGAGTTCTTGTTTTAATCAAAGATAGCAGTGCCTCGGCACCCAGGCAATACAGTTGTCCAGACTCACTAAGATCACCTCCAGCAACTGCGGCTGCCCTCTTTGCTTTTTAACAGCTTGTTTTGCTTGTTTTAAAGATTGTTTTAACAGTTGCTCTATTATTAAACTAACAGCAGCTCTGTGGGAACAATACAAAAGGAAGCCAAAGACTTTAGGCTTTATTTAAGCAGCTTAATTTCTCTGGACAATAAAAAACCGCGGTTAAGGTTTCTAATGAGCATCTGTAAGGCCTTAATAAAATGAAATTAAAAAAAAAGTTAAAACAAAAAAGCATTTTCTCTGAGTTGAGCTTTTCATTACCTCTGCCCTCCTCCGTTCCTTTTTGAGCAGAAGATAACTCTTGCCTTGCACAAGGCACAGATCTCCCAGAAACCTTTCATCCAAGTCTTGAGAACTCTAAATAGGGAGGTTGGGGTAAGGGGAGGGGAGTGAGTCAGCTCCTTTATTAAATGTGAAGCTCACAATTTGTGTTCCTTGGCTAACTTATGTTACCCCTTTGGACGTTTGTTTACTCATCTGTAAAATGGGGATACTAATACATCACTGGGTTGTTCTGTGGGTTAAATGAAACAATAAATATAACATGTTTAGAACTCTGCGTGGCATGTAGTAAGCACTTGATAAGCGTTAGCGGTGGTGGTAATGGTGGTGTGATGTGGTGGTCGTCAGAAGGTGTGGGGTGGCATGCTTACATTTATAAAACTGACATTCAGCTCCTTGGCCGTGTAACCTCTCTGGAGATTGCGTCGTGCATAAACGTCATAGTCACGGACAATTCTGGTGATGATGTCTGATGTTGAGATGCCTTCTGTTCTCTGCGTTGGAACAAACATTCCTGTCCAAATAGGAAAGAGGAGATAAAAAGGGAGAAACTAAGATGGCCTGGTTGAACCATTTCTTTAATGGCACTCCTTTCCAGGACAAAGTTACAACCAAGTGCCACGGAGGCCCCAGCTGACTCTGCGTCCGGACCCAGCTGACTCTTCCAACTTCAGTGCTGTACCTTTCCTCCCTACCGCAGGCGCTGCATGTTCATCATCCTGGACACATTCCCAGGATGCACCATGCACTCTCCCGGCTCCTGGCATGCGCTCATGCCGAGCCCTTCTTTTCTGCCCTGGACACCTCTTCCTGCCCACATCAGCTGCAGCATCCTGCAAGGTCCAACTTCAAGGTTATATCTCTAGGAAGTCTTTCCTGATGTCACCAGGCAGAATCCACAACATTTAGGACGTAAACTTATCTACCATTAACCAAAGAATTTTTTATGTCTCTTTGCTTGTAGGAAAAGAACGTTTTGAAAGCACAGATTATGCCTTAATTGCCTTTGCAGCTCTAGCACCTAGCTCAGTGTCCCTGTGTCTAGCACTTGGGCGGTGCACGCTAAATGCAAATTGACTGAGTAAGTGAATGAAGGAGGGATAACAACTGAGTCAATGAATTAGTCAGATCATGGCAACACCCCCTTCTCTCCCCAAGGACGTCTGCATCACATCATACCAGGAAAAGAAGAAAATGTAGACTATTTTTGTTGTCCCTGATCTAAAAACATGCCAGTGGGGTGCTAGATTGTTTTATCTCCTGAATTACAGTCTACTCTGCATGGTGGTTTCACCACTCAAAGGCCCTTTCATCGAGAATATGTGGGGTTGAGTAAAAATAAACAAGCACAGAGAATACAAAGTCCTAATAGAACTTCTTTAAAGCCCTCAAACATGTATTTGGTGTACCAATATGGGGCTGTAAAGAAGTCACAAATATTAACAAAGGTATGAATTGGGTTTATGCTCCCACTTCTGTTATCAACTGAAATAACATGTTGGCAATTGAGATCTTTCCATCCAATATCATTATGGCCCCTCAGTCAGAGACATCAGGTATAGGGCAGTGTGATAGACAGACTGGGGACAAGAGAGCTGGGTTTTCTCTTTGGAGACTTGAGAAAGTCTCTCAAACCTTGGGAGGCAAGTTATTTAACCTCAGTTTCCTCAGCTGAGAAATGATGTGGCTGACCAAGATGACCTTGAGAATCATCCGTGCCACTTCCTTCTCCCTCACTCCCCACATCCAGTCAATTTCCAACCACCAATCTATTCCTAAATGTCTCCCCAATTCATCCACTTTGCTCCATCTTCCATCCTAAACCAATCCAACACCATCTTGTTCAAAGATTACAGCAATAGCCTCAAAACCAGTCTCCAGCGATGCTGTTTTTGTCCCTCTCAATCCATTCTCCCCATAGTTGTCGGAGTGATTTTTTTCTAAATGCAAGTCAGATGCCCTGCTTGAAACCCTCCACAGGCTTTCTACTGTCCTCTGGTTCAAACCCTTAGCTTCACTCTACAACAGCTTGCATTATTTCTTCTCTGTGCTCCTCTCTAGTCTCATCTAAGACCCCATCCTCTTCACTCCCTAAACCAAGGCCCCTGTGCTGCACAACTGCAGAGGGTACCATTCTCATTGTTGCCCACTGGAGCCGGGCAATAGGCTGACCCGGCCTCGGCCCAGCCACCCTGGACTTCTGCAGTGTTCTGGAAGGGCTGCCTCCCCTTGCCTCACTCTGCCACAAACACATACACTCTACCTGGTCAACTCTTGGCCATCCATTGGGTTTCAGCTTTAGTGTCCCTTCCTCAAGGAAATCTCTCAACTCCAGATGAAGTCTTCCTGTAAGTTATTCCCGCCCAATGGGCTACCGCTCTTTTCCCTCAAATACTCCAAGTCTTTATAAAGCAACTTATTCAATAATCATCTTCCCCATTTGACTATAAGCTACATGAGGGAAGGAAATGGACCTGTCTTGTTCTCTTCTATATTCTCAGCACCAGATGACAAGCAGGCACTATAGGAATATTTGTTGAATGAATGACTAGATGACTATTGATCTCTAAGTGTCTTTCCAAATCCAGCTCTCTTTGATTCTATTGACATTTGTGAATTTTTCAGTCCTGTAGCCCCCACTGGGGTGTCCCTTTGGAGATTTACTTTGATATCATCTGTACATTCACAGTTTGTATCAACAGCAGGGTGGTGCTGCTGATGTTAAAGAAACAAAGCAACCAATTTCTAATGTTATGTGGCTCAGAGGACTGAGTTGGTGATTGTCACTAGGCCAAAAATTTCTTTTATCACCTTCTAGGAAGGCGGAATCAGACATGGAAAACCAAATGGAAGGCAAAGAATGAAAATATCCAAATGCATGGACACAAATAGCAGCCAAACTGACCTAGCTGTGCAGAGGGCTCTGGTGAGTGTGGGAACCCTGAGTGTTGGGCATGGGAACCCTGAGTGGTGGGCGTGGGAACCCTGATGACACCCCACCTTGGTGACAGCAGCGGGAAGCTTTCTGGAGAGGGCTCTATCCCATCTTTCAGCAGACAGATATTTCACCTGCACCCCTGCCTGCTGAAATATTAATATGATTTTCTAGCTACTAACTAAATGATTTTAGTAAGTCATTTAGACACTTGTGACATGAGCTCATCCTTTCTACGAACTCAGAAGGAAGGTCTCTGTGGCTGAATAACAAAGTGGAGTTGGGGTTGGGGCTGGGGTTGTGGTTGGGAAGAGATTTGCTTTGGCTGGTTGGGAGGTAGGTCTCTGAAAGAAGCCAAGCCCTCTGCTGATATAATGAGGCACCCGGCTTCCTCCAAATCCTAATTATTGCTCTGCTAAAAATATTCAGTAATGAGCATGATCAGAGAACCTTTTTTATCATGCTTTTCAGAATTGCAGCGTTTGGTTATGGAGCTATTTTAAGCAGCAGCAAAGCACATGTTAATGAAGGAAACTTTCAACAGTAGTAGGCAATATTAGAATGATGATGAGTAATGTGGACCTTATATAGTCTATTTAATTTAAGCTCCAGCTTTTCATCCAGCTTTGCTAGGGGAGCTTGACGTGTAGCTCCGACAAGCAGAACAGAGTGCTATAAAATTCATGCCCTTGATATCTCTGGCTTCATTTGAAGTGATTTTTGACTTTCAAAATAAACCACGATTAGAGTATAAAAGCCAAATGTCAATACTCAGGCAATTTCTGAGCATCTTTCTCCCACAGTGAATACTCTGGCCTTCTCTACCTGGGCCCAAACACATCTTCACTGTGAATCTCCCTCCTGGTGAGAAATCAGCAGAGCAGATTAAAGGACCATAAAGAAGTGTCCATGTGCCTATGATTAGTCATATATAGTCCTGTGCCAAGTAAAATACCAGCTGACTAATTCAATTTGGAAATGGGGACTGGGATGGATTAAAGATGGCCACAATTCCCTACCCCTTGAATCTGGGCTGGCCTTAGTGACTTGCTTATAACAAACAGAATGTGGCATAAGTGACACTGTGTGACTTCCATGGCCAGGTGAGAGAAGCTTGCTCTCTGAATGTTCTCTCTCACAATGCTCCTTCTTAGAACCCAGCTGTCATGCTGTGAGAAGTCCAAGCTACATGGAGAGGCCATAGATGCTCCAGTGACAACCCCAACTGAGCTCCCTGCTGACAACTACCATCAGCAGCCAGCTGTGTAAATGCACCTTCTGGGACCCCACCCCCCAGCCCAGTCGAGCCTTCAGATGACTGCAGCCCCAGCCAGTATCTGACTATAATTGTTTGAGAAACCCCTAGCAAGAACCACCCAAGAACATCAAGCCAAGCCCTAGTTGGACTCTTGACACACAAAATCATAAGCAAAATAAAATGGCGCTTTTAAAGTTGCTAAGTTTAGCGGTAATTTATCATGCAACAATAGTTTAACCGGAACAGGGATGGTGGCTTTCTTAAAGAGTTGGAAGAATATTGGACCTGTTCCTACACCTAAACAACTGGAACTTGACATTTTGTTCCCTAAAATCAGGAAAGCAACTTATTCTTAGATCACCAGAGGCCGCTCACCCAGAGATAAAATAACTACCAAATGCTTGTTGCTATACTACAAGTTAGCTGAGGAATAATCATCCCAGGAAACACCCATTCAATTAACCCTGGGGGTAAGTCAGCTGAACCACAATCTCTGGTCTAGATCTTCACTACTCTAACTGAGGTCTATGGACCTGCAGCATCTAACAACCTGGGAGTTCATTTAAAAAATGGAAATCTCAGATCCCACTAGCCCTACTGAATCTGAATCTGCATTTTAACAAGATCCCAGAGGCAATCTGTAGGTCCGTTAAAGTTTGACAAGCACCAGTCTACAAGGTCCTTCAAGGTCATTTTAGGGAAGGAGCAGCTGACTCGTAGCTCAGATTTCACAAAGACTTAAAAGGGTATTATTCACCCCATGCCATAAGCCCTCAATGTAGCTTACACTTCAGCTAGTTTCTTCGCACTGCCCCCCATTCCTCCCCTGACAGCGGTCCTCAGCAACCTTCCAAGTCTGGAGTGTATGGGGTTTCCTTTCTTAGAACGCCTTTTAAAAAATAAGGTTGGAACTTGAGACTTCCGGGCCTCCTATTCTTGTCTAATGCTCCTGACCACTGAGGGAGTCCTTTCTAAGAGGCTGGGACAGACTCAGCCACCAGCCCTGCTGGGGCAGCATGGAGCTTCCCTGGCAAGCCTCAAAGGATGTGCATCAACAAAAGCATCATCAGGGAGAATAAGTACATTATAGGTGACAGAATCATTTTCTGAAATATTATCCAAAGTCGTCTTCATTTCTGGGGATTCTGGCTGCCCAGAGGCCTGTCCCCAATGTCACTGAGACCTCCATCACTTCAGGGGTAGGTAGATGTAGCAGAGACTACAGGAGACCATATTCAGCTTTTGACTTCTAAAACAGTCTCTTTTTAAAGGTCATTTAAAAAAAAATCAAGGCTTTCACTTGAAAGAGCTAGGCTTTGAGGAGAACAAAAAAGGGTTTTCTAAATCTCAGAAATGTCCCTTTAATTATTAAGAACCAGAGGCTGACCAGACTCAGGATATGTTGTAAGCCCTGGAGTGGGGAAGACATGGAATTAAAAGGGGGTAGTTTTCGCCCTCCAGGAAGAAGAGAAGTCCCTCCTAGGGCTGAGGGAAAGAGCCTAGTGAGAGATTAGGAGGCAAGCAGTAAAACTGAGGGAATGTGAATGGGGCCTGTCCCCTGCCTCAACTCAGGTTCAAATCCCAGGAGCAGAGGCAGGGAAGAGACCCCTTTAGAAAGCCCAGAGCATAGGGGCTTGCACCTTGTTTCCCACCAGGAGTTTTGGGAGGAAAGCATCTCACGGAGGCTCTGGGCCAACAAGAGGAGACCTCAGTAGAGTGAGTATTCCTGACAGCAGGCAGGTCAGACAGGGCGTGACGTGGCTCCCTCCCCTCCCACTGCCTGTGTTTCCCTTGCTCTCCAGATTATGGAGGACATTTTAAAATTTCCTGAAGACCCTCTAGAGGAACACAGAAGGTAGCTGATATTTCAGATCAACATGATTGCTAGATGAGTCACCGTAGCACAGGGAAAGGAATCCTGCAGCAGAAGCTAAGGCCAAGACAGGCCAAAGGCGAAGGTTTTTGGGGAACAGATGGAGGAGATGGCTGATGTCAGAGGACTACAATGTGGGAGGGAGGGGGACATGGCTGAGCAGATCTTGATACCCCACAATGATGCCAAGGACGGGATGGGAAACTGGGTTTGGTGACTTTTAGGGGCCCATCCTACTCAAGAGTCTGAAAGTCTGTGAGTAGCAGGAAAAGGCTAAGGGTGGGGAATAAGGGGTTTTCCATGGGTGGAGTTCCACTGGCCCCCAGAAAAGGGGGGAGGTGGCTCTGATGGTGGATGGCAAGGGGGGCAGCTCTAGTATAATGGATGTATTAGACTTCTTGACGTCCCTAAGTAAAGCATATGGTAACTCACTAAACTAGAGTATCTGTACCATGCCAGACAATGGCTTGATGTACATGTGAAGGTATGTGTGGATGTACATACAGTGCCTATAGATTAAGTGTATGGTAGACAATAAAAGAGCAGAAAATAAACCAAACCATTACAAAGCTACTTTCATACCTATCTTTAGCCAAAATATCAATTCTAGCCCATCCCTTCCCCAACTCTGACCTTCACAGAAATGCTTAGTGACAAAAGTATGTGTGCCAGCTTCCAGAAGCTCAAGCACCACATCTGCCTTCCAGGACATCACTTATGAGTTTCAGGAAGGAAATATTTTACTTGATTCTGCAAATGCTTATCCATTCTATTTTTGCCTCTGCACGTGGTACCTGAGGATATTACTATCATTTCATTGCGAAGACTTAATTGTGAATGAGGAAAGTGATTGCCCTTTAAGCAATAGGGCCCTGTGATGTTAGTCTGATGAACCCTAGAATTGAGTCTCAAACCTGAAGTTGAGTACTTTTGTGCTCAGGTTAATTCCTATATAAATGCCCAAATGGTGTCTTAGCACATGTCAACAGAGGTTTGTAGAGGCTGCTGGGAAGACACCTGAAATTCCAGTGCCCAGTATGTAACTGCTACAGTTCTAGGACACATGTCTCTTATTAAACCCCACAATTGTGAAGCAGTGGACAGGTGAGCACAGGAGAACTCCTTACCTGCTTCCTTTATATGCTTGTAAACATCATCAGAGCCAGCAGAGGAATATGGAATGTCATCATGGGCCACAAAGTCAATCTGTTAAGAGAAAGAAGTGTCACGTCACCAGTGGGATGAATTTAAATGAGTCGGAATTGACTTGATGGCAACTGGTTTGGTGACCTCAAAATGCCTTTTTGAAATAAGGCATTTGTGTGTTAAATGGACATTGTGGGGCTGAATCCTTGCCTGAAAGGTATTTCCTACTGGCTCCATTTCATGAGATAATTGGGAGCTAGAAGAATAAATGTTTGGTTCCTCTCCTTTCTGGTCCCTCTTTCTTCTCCCACCTCTGACAGTGAGTTCTCTTGGCCTTCTGTTAAACATTCTGCTTCAGAGAACTCATTCATTCTTTAGATTTTAATCACCTCTGCTAGGACGGGAACCCAAATCTCCATTTCCTGTCCCATTGATGGCAATAGGCTTCTGATGCTTAGGTCATATTTTATACTGGGCAAATGAACTGCATGTCTCTCTTCTCATTTGGTCCTCACAATCACCTTGTGAGGTAGGTAGGGCACATATTACTATTTCAGTTCGAAGATAAGAATGCTGAAACCAGAAAGCGTGTTAGATTTGTCCAAGGTCACACAGCTTATTAGTGGTTTTAGGCAGGGAGTGGGCAGTTGGGGAACCAGACTATGCTTTCTTAATTCGAACTGCAGCCCTTTTCTCTTTCACCACCTTTTGCTGTCACTTTAAAGTCAACCTTTCCAGACTTTAGTTCATCTTTCTGAAAACTAGGGCCCACTGCCAATGGCACCTCCACTTTTCCTCAGCCAAAACCTTGGCATTGACCTTCTTTACCAACTTCCCTCCATAGCACACTGGTCGGTCACAAGGTCCATTGTTGTGAGTGTGTGTGTGTGCGTATGTATGTGTGTGTGTGTGCGCGCGCATCCATCACTTCCTCTCCATTGCTACTATACCAAATCCAGGTCCCAGGCTGTCACCCATATTATTTCCACCAACTTGTATCTGACCTTCCTCACTGTAGGCTCTCTCCCCTCTAAGCCATCTTGCTGTCACATGGAGAGTCCTCTTTAAACAGAGTTTCCTTCTTGTCACCCTTGTGCCTGTTGATCTTCACTGGTTCCCTGTTTCCTACTACAACAAATAAAAACTTCTTGCATGGTTTTCAAAGCCCTTTATAATGAGGCTTCACTCCACCTTGAGAGGTAGTTTACAGTAGTAGTTTAGATTGCCTTGGTATGGTTCCTGCCTGAAAGGTATTTCCTACTGGCTCCATTTCATAAGATATTGGGGGTTAGAAGAATAAATGTTTTGTTCCTCTCCTTTCTTGTCCCGCTTTCTTCTCCCACCTCTGACAGTGGGTTCTCTTGGCCTTCTGTTAAACATTCTCCTTCAGGTAACTCGTTCATTCTTTAATCACCTCTGCTAGGACAAGGAACCCAATTTTACTAGCTACATAACTCATAAGTTGTAGTAAGGATTAAAGCAGAGTTTCTCAGCCACAGTACTAGTGACATTTGGGGCTGGATAATTCTTTGGTGTGGGGGCTGGCCTGTGCATGATAAGATGCTAAGCAGCACCCCTGGCCTTTACCCACTAGATGCCAGTAGCACCCCTCTAGTTGTGACAACCAAAAATGTCTCCAAACAATGCCAAATGTCATCTGGAGGGCAATCTCACATCCAGTTGAGGACCACTGGATTAAATTATAGAATATATATACATTCATACCCCCTGCTGTCGAGTTTATTCTGCCTAATAGACCCCACAGGACAGAGTAGAACTGCCCCATTGGGTTTCCAAGGAGCAGCTGGTGGATTCAAACTGCCGACCTTGTGGTTAGCAGCTGAGCTCTTAACCACTGTGTCACCAGGGCTCCATAATATACATGAAAGTGCTTAAAATAATAACTGGTACACAGCAAGTACTCAATAAATGTTAATGATTATTCATTCTATTTTTTATTACTCAAATTTAGTTCCTCCTCCTTTGCAATGTATCATATAATAATAATAACAACAGCAGTTACTTCTCAGGGTAGCCACGAGATTGAATGTGATCATGTAAAAGTCAAGCACTTAGCACAGTGCTGGGCACATGGTAAATATTTAATAAACGACAGCCATCATATCGTTATTAGCATCTCCCATCATGCCTAGCACAAGTTGCATATACTATAGATGCTGAGTAAAAATGTGTTGGTGATTGCTGGATGCAAATCATATTGTAGTTTTTCCTCTTTCTTTTCATTCTCGCCGGGAAATTGTCTCCTCTGCTATTACCCATGCACATTTATCAGTATTCTCTATTCTCTTCTGCATTGCGAATTTAAAAATAGAAAAGAAAACTCTTAGAACAGCTTAATCTTATTTTTTTGTACTGCTTATAAAAGGAAAGAATAGCTCCTAATGTGGGGCTGGTCGGGAGATACAAAGCACATAATTTGATGCAGATAAAAGAATTTCTCATGTTTTCAACTAATAAAAATCTTATGTCAGTATGAGCTGTTTCTCAGGGCCACAAACTCATAGACATAAAGTTCTTTCCTTAAAGGCCGATCCCTGACCTTCTGGCTAAGATGTCTATTCAATTGTTCCACGAAAAATGATGATGGTGATAATGATGATGATGACGACAATGGTGGTGGCTAGCATTTTTGAAGCTCTTGCAATGGGGCCAGTGTTCCAAGCACTTTACTTAGATTTTTATCTCATTAGATCTTCAAAATAGCCTCACGAGGAAGGGACTATTATCATCCCATTTTACAGGTGAGGTAAGTGAGCACTGAGTGGTTAAATATCTTGCTCACAGTCCCACAGTTAGGGAGGGATAGAGGCAGCATCTGGACCTAGGTGGTCTACCTCCAGAGCACACACTGGAGAAGTGAAAGGACTCCAGTCCCCAGGCACGTGCGGAAGAGAAGTACTGCATCAAGCAACGACGCCACACGATGGTTCCTAAGGTTGCCTCTTTTAAGAATCTGAAGAGTCTTTGGGCTTTCTGTGGAGTAGGCTGCAGGACCTAGACTCCCTGTTGGACTACTTAGAGAATGTGGATGAATGAGAAGTACCTTGTGTTTTTCCAGAAACTCAGGTGTGAGTGTCCATGGAGCATCTCTGATGACTTCGTCCACATAGCGACAATGTCTGAGAGCTTCATATCTTTCTGCTTCATTCATCACAGTGAAACCTTTGAATTTGTGGGTGAGGTCATCACTGCAAACTGAAACAGGCAAACGTGTGAAATGCTATTCCCAGTCCAGACCCTGCGGACACTCACGAGGGTGCAGACCTGGCATCGTCAGCAAGACAAAAGGAGCACAGCATAATCAAACTCAATTTTTTTTTTTTTTTTTTACAGGAACAAAGGATCTGGAGAGTGAAGCAAGCTGAAATCCACTGGCAATTCAGGATTTCATTTTAGTGCTAATTACAACTGTGGTTTTTATTAAAAATATTCTCCACCCTACCTAATGTGACTTTCATATCTTTATTTCTCTATTCCACCTTTTAGTGAAAATTACTAATCAGAAATAAAAGTAGCAGACAGAGAAGGGAGAGGAGAAGAACCAAGAGGACTGAATTATATAAGGTTTGAATGGTCAGTTCCAATTCTTTTACTAGATCATTGTTCTTATTAACCCAAGTGTGATTCGTGTGTGCTTGCACACACACACACACACACATACACAAACACACATACATACTCATAAACACACATATACAAACACACACACCTAATACATATACCCATGTACTCATACACATATACAAACACACATACATATATACACATGTCCTCATACACACACTTCTGTTCCCTGGATTAAGGTCCAGTCACTACACATCAGACTACACAATCAAGAGGAGAAAGGCATAAAATACAAAGTCTAATCTAGCAGAATTCGTCTTTTCCACATCTCTTATCCTTTCTAGATCTCAGATTCCTAACCATTCAAATGGAGTTAGTAAGTATCCTTCACTGTCAGCCTTAGAAGGAGCCCTTGTGGCTCAGTGGTTAAAGCAATCGACTGCTAACCTAAAGGTCGGCAGTTTGAAACCACCAGCAGCTCCGTGGGAGAAAGACGTGGCAGTTTGCCTCTATAGAGATTTACAGCCTTGGAAACCCCTATGGGGTCACTATGAGTCGGAATCAACTCGATGGCAGTGGGTTTTTGGTATCAGCCTTAGAAGGAGCCCTGGTGGCTCAGTGGTTAAGTGCTCGGCTGCTAACTGAAAGATTGCAGTTGGAACCCACCAGCTGCTCCGGGGGAGAAACACGTGGTGGTCTGCTTCTGTAAAGATTTACAGCCTTGGAAACCCTATGGAGCAGTTCTACTCTGTCCCGTAGGGTTGCTATGAGTCGGAATTGACTCCACAGCAACAGATTTGGTTTTTGATCAGCCTTAGAAAGGATTTATATAAAAATATTTTGAAATAAACTGAAAATAGTATTTATTATCCTATCCAGAATGTATTTTTTGGTTGACAAAGGCAGCTTTTCTAAGGTTTCCCACATGTCCAGAAGAAATACCATTATGGCTACAATCCCTGTTTACCAATACTAGTGAGGATCAGGTGCTCAGAACTACTCTGACTGCTCCTCAATATGAGTTTTTTCTTTAAGATATTATGTATATATGATAAATTCACAGATTTTAAATGTACAAGATGTGTTTTAAAAACAGAAATGTGATCATTTTCTTAAAACCAAATCATGACCCACATCCAGAACTAAATCTGGCCACAGAGGAAATACAGCCAATGGCCACACCCAGCATCCTTTGGGAAACCTCCTGTTGCAGCCCTTCCCAGAGACACCTGTCTTCTATGGTCCTCCTAAGTTGCACTGTTGGCGCGGTAGTTGACAGTTTGGCTGCTAACCAAAAGGTCGGCAGTTTGAATCCACCAGCTGCTTCTTGGAAACCCTATGGGGCAGTTCTGCTCTGTCCTATAGGGTTGCTATGAGTCGGAATTGACTCGATGGCAACGGGGTTGGTTTGCTTTTTTTTTTAAGTCCCACTGAGAAACTGAAGCCAGGACAAGGTACAAGTAATTCTTAGGACAGGCGAAGAAATCTTCTCAAGTTCTATACAGAAGAATCATTTTGTTCCAAGCAATTAGTGGTTATAATGGTGAGGGAAGGAACAAATGTCTTCTAGTATTGCCTCTGAGACAAGGTCCAACAAATGGCTACTGATATGTATCATTTCAAATTTACATAAATTTGAGGCAGATGTTATCTGCATATCCATTTGCCTGATAGATGCCTGGACAAACAGGAATTAAACGAATAGGGACTACTCCAAACTCCAGACTACCTTCTTGACATTGGAAAGTAAATGTGTCCAAACCCCAGAGACTTTTTTAAAAATAATGTTTTATTGTGTTTTCAGTGAAAGTTTACACAGCAGTTTCGGTTCCCATTCAACAATTTCTACACAAATTGTTCAGTGACATTGGTTACATTCTTCACAAGGCATGAACATACTCATTATTTCCATTCTGGCTGTTCCATTTCCATTAATCTAGTTTCCCTGTCCCCTTATCTTCTCATCTTTGTTTTAAAGTAATTGTTGACTCTTTGGTCTCATATAGATGATTTTTTAAAAGAGCACAGTACTCACGGGTGATATTCTTTATTTTGTGAGCCAACTTTCCATTCAAGGGCTAGTTTTGGTTCATGGTTTAAAGAGTATCTCAGGGCAATAGTCTCAGGGACTCCTCCAGTCTCAACCGGTCCAGTAAGTCTGGATTTTTTTTTTTAAGAATTTGAGGTTCTGTTCCACATTTTTCTCCCATTCTGTCAAGATCCATCTATTGTGGCCCTGATCAGAACGGTCGGTAGTGGTAGCCACGCACCATCTAGTTCTTAGGGTCTCAGGGTAAATGAGGCCATGGTTCATGTAGACTATTAGTCCTGTAGATTAGTTTCTTCTTTGAACCTTTGGTTTCCTTCTTTCTCTTTTGCTTTGGATGAGTAGAGACCGATAGTTGTAACCTCACAAATTTTTGATGGTTTCTCCCAAACCTGAACCTCCTGTAGTCTTCCTCATCTCAGTAAATAGCAGTGCAGTCCTTTCAATTACTCAGGCCAAAGCCTTGGAGTCATCACTGACTCCTCTGTCCTCCCACACGCCGCATCCAATCCATCAGCAAACTGCTGGATCTGCCTTCAAAATGTACCCAGAAGCCATGGACTTCTCAGCACCTCCACTGCTTCCATCCTGGCCCATTAACCATCTCTCCCATGGATTACTGCAGTGGCCTGCTATCTGGTCTCCTGATAGGCTCACCCATCCCCCCAATGACCTGTTCTCATTGACCAGAATCATCCTGTTAAAACCTGTCAGATCATGTTATTCCTAGGCTCGGAACCCTTCCCATCTTTCTCAGAGTAAAAACCAAAGTCCTCCAGCAGCCTACAAGGCCCCTATGAAATCCACATTTCCAGCCTATGAGGCCCTACAAGACTCACACTTCTGACACTCCTTGCCTTTCTGACCACATCTCCTATTGTATTAGGGCCTTTGTACTTCCTGGTCCTCGACCCTGGAACAGTTGTACTGCAACTATCCCTAGGTCTCACTCCCTCTCTTCCTCTCCAGGGAACAGTCTTCCCTACCATCCTATTCTAAATTGCAATCCTGCCCCCACCACTGGCAGTACCCATCCTCTCCTCACTTCACCTCTTGCCATTGCACCCATCATCACAGAATTATCTTATTTAATTTTGTTGATCGTTGGTGTTCCCCTACTAAAATGTAAGTTCCCCGAGGGCAGGGACTTTTGTCTGTTTCACTCTCCGATAAACAGTACCTGGCCATGGTGGGCTCTTAGCAAATATTTGTTGAATGAATTAACAATGCCTGACACATATAGATGCTCAATAAATGTTTATTATTATTAAACGAATAATTTCTTTTATAAGGATCAGCACGAAGCTGGTTCTTATGAGATGGAGGTTAAAGATGTCCCATTTGTCCAACTCTTCCAAGCTGCTGTACCACTCCATCACCTCTAACATCAACTACTCCCTCTCACCTCAGCACTCTCCCTCCAGTCTTTGGGTTCCCTAATTTGCTGCAATGTCTCACAGAACTCACGAACCATATAAAGGAAATGGCTCCTGCAGTTGTGGAGGCTGGCAAGTCCCAAATTCATGAGTCAGGTGTAGGCTTCTCCCAACCCACATGGCTGCAGGAGCTGATGAACCCAAACCAGCAGTTCAGACCATAGGCTGCTGGCTCACAGGGCTGCAGAAGCTGACGAATCAGGTCACTTGATAGGCCACTAGCACAAGGGGCTTTGGAGGCCAGCAAATCCCAGAATTGGCAAGTCAGACAGCAGGCCTCTGGGGAAGTCAAATGATCATGAACTGGACACGGGCTCCAGATGCAGAAAGAGAGAGAGCCTCACCAGGACACATACATATATCTTAGATGCAGGCCACACCCCAGGGAAGGGTGTAACTTTAGTGAGGGTGGGGCTTAAGTCATGCCCTCCTTTGACCCAAGACGCACCTTACACCAATCCTTCCTCATCAATATGTAGAGGTCAGGATTCACAACACCTAAAGTGGAGGACAACCACACAATACTGGGAATTCATGGTCCAGCCAAGTCGACACATAACCCCAACCATCATATGTTCCATATACCTTATTTGCATAGTTCCACTCAATCACTGTGTGTAAGTCACAAAGACCATGGCTAGAAGGGCCGTGTTAAGTAACTAATTGCACCACAATTATTTAAAATAATAGATGTGTATTTATCTCTAGGCACATTTCAACAGCATACATGCAAATAAGAGACTGATATGTCTCTAGATACATATGCATAGGCATATCTCCCCTATACATATTTCCTGAGATATTTTCTATTATTGCATTTTGCACTACCAACGCACCATCAACCAGGTGGCTCGTTCAAAAACTCTGATGAGTATCAGAATCACCTAAGGAGCTTGTTAAATATAAAGATGGCTAGGCCCCACTCCCTGAGATTTTTGATTCAGTGGGTCTCTAGTGGGGCCCAGGCAGCTCTCTATTTGACAAGCTTCAAGGGATTATCCTTTGAAAATTCCCACAGCATATTATGAACAAGTTGAGTAAAGTGCCGTGCCTGTCTGAATCACCCATCGCACCCAGCAGTGGGGAGCAGGTAGTAGGGCCATAATGACTATGTATTGATTCACTGACTTCGTTCGCTTTTGACTCCG